TCAAGCTTCTCATTGTGAGAGAGGGAATGGGATGGGGAAAGGTGAAGAACCCTACCTACAGTGTTGGTTTTGAATTGTAATTTAATATAATTCCTAGCTCTGTCCAAAAGGGCTCAGAAACAATAAGCATACCTGGCCCCCGGCATTTGTTTTCTAAAGCCTTCCCCCCCACTGAAAAGGATCAGGGCACCCTGAAGAAACTGCTAATACCAGCTCTGGAAACAAGGTTAGTCAAGTATAAGATGAGCCTAGGAAGCAAGCAAAGTGAGCACAGACTAAGTAAGAGGAACATGTCAAAAGGATGTAGAAAAGGGGCTCACAGGAAAAATCTGGAACCCTCTGAGCATCAAAAAGAACAACGTTAATAGTGTAATAGGTTGATTTTGGGGAAAAAAACACATGTCTATACTGATACTAAAAAAAGAGTAAGAAAAGAGAGGTTCTTTCAAACAGTAGAATGCCAGCTAATAACTGTAGAATGAGTGATAAAATTAGAAAAATCACAGTTCTGCAACCGTCAACGTATTAACTGATTCAGGCAAGGATCTTCAGTGACGTAAATCCACTGGATAAAAGATCAGAACCTGGATATGCACACAATTTCCCAGTGTCACCTCACAGGAGTACTTACTATTTACAAAGGGGAAAAGGCACTTTTATAACAGACAGACATCTGGCTGACACCACTTTAACCAAGTGCCAAAACTCAAAACAGGCCAAACTGACATGTGCCTTCAATATGTGATTTCACAGGAAATATACATCACCTACTTAAGTTCTCTTGCCAAAATATTTAACCTAAACCTAATCTGGAGGAAGCAATCAAACAAATACAGATGGTATTCTATAAGACAACCTACTTAGACTTTACAAAATGCAGATGACTAAAAAAACTTGTAGAATAGGGACTATTAAAGTTTAGAGGAAACTAGAGACATAAGACCAAATGATAAAACAGACTCTGGAATAAGAAAAGGAAACAATTGAGGAAATTTGAATATGGATTACGTCTTAGATTAATATTACATGAATGCTATTTTGGGAGTGTTTTAATAGTACTGAAGTTATATAGAAGAATGTCCTCATTTCTTATGAAATACTTGCTAAAATACTTAGGGGTGAAGTACCATGGAATCTAACTTCCTTTAAAAATGATTCTACAAAAACAAATACAGCAAAAGTTAAAAACTAGTGAACGAAGGTTAAGGTACATTGAGTAGTACTGATATACTATTCTTTC